GGGCACGTAGGGCACAACCAATCAATGTTCCTCTCTCATATCAGTGTTTCTCTCTCTCTCCCTCCCTCTCTCTAAAAAAATAAATAAATTCTCTAAAAATATATACTCTATTATAAAGTTGGAATAACAACATCTACTCCATAAGACTACTATGAGTATAAAATTAATATCACAAATAAAAGGATTCAGACAATCCTTTAGCAAATAAGCATTCAATAAGAACTATTACATCTTATTACTATAATAATATAGGTACATCAAAATGAAACATGTTGCCAAGATATTTTTTAACATTTTCTTTCTTACATATAATTCTGTCATTAGGTATAATACCTGACAAATAAGGTATAATATTCTGTCATCAAGTATTATACCCAATGACGGAACTCTGTCATCAGGAACAATCAATGAATGGGAAGAACTTTAAATCCTTGAAGAAAGAGAGATATTTATCGTATGCTTTAAAATTAATGGGAAAATCCCCTTGTAAAACTTTCCCTTCCGTGGTGTTATAGCATATGAAAATCTTCTATTCCTTCAGGTTTCTCTTCCTATGGTAGGAACTCTTAAAGAATATAACTATTTAAGTAAGTCATAATTCACACTACAGTGATAGTAACTACTTCACAACTTACTTGTCTGAAAAGATGTGATTCAAGAAAATTCCAGAACAGAAATATAAAGGGTAAAAAGTCAAAATAAAATAGATACAATTAATTAAAAAGGGATATCTCCTATAAGTGATGGTACATGAATATGTACCATACTGTTAATGTGATCTGACAAAGAATACTGAGGTAAATTACAAGGATGGCCATAAATTCTTCCCTTCTATATGTCCTTGGGTAATCCTCTCCTATAGTGGTTCTGAGCTTGGCCATGTAATATGCTCTGGCAAATGAGACAATGGCAAATGTGATACAGACGTAAAAAATGCTTGGGCATTGGGGCCCCCAATCTTTAGCTGTTCCTGTGAAGAAGCCCAGGAAAGCCCTGGCTGGTGTGGCTCAGTGGATTGTGTGCTGGCCTGCAAACCAAAGGGTTGCCGGTTCAATTCCTAGTCAGAGCACATGCCTGGGTTGTGGGCCAGGTCCCCATTAGGGGGCGTATGAGAGGCAACCACTCATTGATGTTTCTCCTTCCCTTCCCCTCTCTAAAAATAAATAAATAACATCTTTTTTAAAAAGCCCAGGAAAACCTACCAAATGATAAGAGACATGTGCCCCAGTTGCTGCTCCTCCCCTGGCCAACACCATACCAAGTGTCAGAAATGTCAGAAATGTGATCAGACTGTCTTAGATGATTCAACCACCAGTCCAACCTCTAGCTGACCTCAAACACATGAGCAAGCCCAGCAGAAATCAGCTGGATCAACCCAGACCAGAAGAGCTACACAACTGACATAGGGAATCTTAAGCTAAATAAGTGGTTATTATTTTAAGCAACCAAATTTTGCAGTGATTTGCTACAGAACAAAAGCTAGTAAGATACAAATACAGATCACCAATACATTTCTTTTTTTCCCAAATCATTAAGAAGAGGTAGAACACTAAAATAATTTTTAAAAGTCAGTATACATAATTTTTAAAGGTTTTACTTATTTACTTTTTAGAGAGAGGGGAAGGAAGGGAGTAAGAGAGGGAGAGAAACATCAGTGTGTGAGAGATACATCAATCGGTTGCCTCTCACATGCCCCCAACTTCAACCCAGACATGTGTCCTGACTGGGAGTCAGCCTATGACTTTGGGTTCATAGGCTGGTGCTCAATCCACTAAGCCACACCAGCCAAGGCAGTATGCATAATTTTTTAAAAATCAATTAAATACTGTTACCAGAGGAGAGAGTAGCAGAACTATGCTTATCCATAGTAAATACCTAATAGATACTTACTGAATTGAAATAAATGAAATAGGAACTTCCAGCCAACATGGAGGTGTAGGTAGACACACTGTGCCTCCTCACACTACCAAAAGAAGGATAACAACAAATTTAAAAACAAAAAACAACCAGAACTGACAGAAAATCGAACTGTATGGAAGTCTGACAACCAAGGAGTTAAAGAAGAAACATTCATCCAGACCGGTAGGAGGGGTGGAGATGGGCAGCCAGGGTAGAGAGGACTCATGGCAAGGCAGCTGGAGGAGCAAGTGAAGCAGTGGATTGTGGACCAGGCGGTCCCACATTCACATGCAGATAAACCGGGAGGAACAACTGGGAAGTGAGACAGACCACACAACCCAGGGTTCCAGTGGGAAAATAAAGCCTCAAAGCTTCTGACTGAAAACACCTGTGGGAGTTGAGAGAGCAGCAGGAAAAACTCCCAGCCTCACAGGAGAGCTCATTGGTGAGACTCCCAGGATCCTAGAATGTACACAAACCCATCTACCCAGAAGTCAGCACCAGAAGGGCCCAATTTGCTTGTAGGAAGCAGGGGAAGTGACTGGAAACTCGGTGGAGAGCAGAACAAGTGGTGTCGTTCCCTCTTGAATCCCTCCCCCACACACAGCGTCACAACACAGCAACGTGGGTTGCCCCACACTGGTGAACACTTCAGGCTCCGCCCCTTACTATGTAACAGGTGTGGGGAGACAGAAAAAAATGGCCCAAATGAAAGATCAGATCAAAGCTCCAGAAAAAGTACAACTAAGCAACAAAGAGACAGCCAACCTATCAGGTGCACAGTTCAAAACACTGGTAATCAGGATGCTCACAGAATTGGTTGAATATGGTTGCAAATTAGATGAAAAAATGAAGGCTATGCTAAGTGAAATAAAGGAAAATGTACAGGGAACCAACAGTGATAGGAAGGAAACCAGGACTCAAATCAACGGTGTGGACCAGGAGAAAGAAAGAAACATTCAACCAGTACAGAATAAAGAAACAAGAATTCAAAAAAATGAGGAGAGGCTCAGGAACTTCCAGGACATCTTTAAATGTTCCAACATCCAAATCATAGGGGTACCAGAAGGAGGAGAGGAAGAGCAAGAAATTGAAAATTTATTTGAACAAATAATGAAGGAGAACTTCCCCAATCTGGCAAAGGAAATAGACTTCCAGGAAGTTGAGGAAGCTCAGAGAGTCCCAAAAACATTGGACCTAAGGAGGAACACACCAAGGCACATCATAATTACATTACCCAAGATTAAAGATAAGGAGGGAATCTTAAAAGCAACAAGAAAAAAGGAGACAGTTACCTACAAAGGAGTGCCCATAAAAGACTGTCAGCTGATTTCTCAAAAGAAACCTTGCAGGCAAGAAGGGGCTGGAAAGAAGTATTCCAAGTCATGAAAGGTAAGACCCTACATCCAAAATTACTCTAACCAGCAAAACTATCATTTAGAATGGAAGGGCAGATCAAGTGCTTCCCAGATAACGTCAAGTTAAAGGAATTCATCATCACCAAGCCCTTATTATATGAAATGTTAAAGGGGCTTACCTAAGAAAAAGAAGATAAAAATATGAACAGTAAAATGACAATAAACTCACAACCACACCTAAAACCAAAACAAAAACAAACAAACAACTAGAACAGGAACAGAATCACAGAAATGGAGATTACATGGAGGGTTATCAGCAGGGGAGAGGAAGAGGGGGGAAAAGGTACAGAGAATAAGTAGCATAAATAATAGGTAGAAAATAGACAGGGGGAGGTTAAGAATAAGATAGGAAATATAGAAGCCAAAGAACTTATATGTATGACCCATGGACTAAAGGAGGGGAACGTGTGTGGGAGGGGGTGTGTAGGGTGGAGGGGAATAAAGGGGAGAAAAGGGGACAACTGTAATAGCATAATCAATAAAATATATTAAAGTAAATAAATAAAAAGAAAAAAATAAAATAAAAAAAGAGATTACCCAAAGCCATATGTCATTAACAGAAGAAAAAATATTGAACCTAGGTCTGTCCCTTGAAAACAGCATTCTAAGTCCCAAATGTTGTCATATAACCATTTTTTAAAAACAGATTTTGCTTTATTTATAATGATTATATTACTAAAGCAACATATAACCAGAAACATTGAGATAAAGAACAAACTGACAGTAACCAGAGGGGAGGGGAGGGGGATAACAGGAGAAAGAAGGGGAATGGTCATCAAGGAACAAGTATAAAAGACACAAGGACAAAGCCAAACAGGGTAGGATCGAGGGTAGCAGGTGGGGGTGGGTGGGGTGAAAATGGAGACAACTATACTTGAAAAACAATTAAAAAATAAATCCTTTATGGAATTATAGAATACTAAACAATTTTTGAGGCAGCGGCAATACTGGAAATTCCACTGAGGCCAAAAACTACCTACCAAAGTTAAAGTACAAAGTAAGATGACTGTGACATGACATTAAGACATTAAGAATCTTTTTTAAATCTCTAAGAAACAGCCATTAACCTTTGTTAACCCAACAGCCAAGAATGGGATCAAATGGTTTTGCATTCGATAAAAAATACCTCAAACACTTCAGTAGCATCTTAAGAAATTGTTTCTAAAATAAACTGGGAGTTAGGTAGTAAACAGGTACACTGAAAATAAAGTATATAAAACAAAGATAACTCAATCCTTAAATCATTAAAGGGAATACAGATAATTACAGTGATTTATTAGAAAAAGAAATTTCACTGATCAAATACCATTCTGAAAATAAGTAGTGACAGTGAGTAATTAAATCAAAGGAAAGAAAATGACTATCACACTCCATCTAAAACATCTGTGCAAAAATAAAGATGTCCAAACCTATTTAATAACTAGAATGTGTCCTATCAAGAAGCTGAGTGAAAAAAAAGTTCAAATCTCAAACGCACAGGAAAAGAATTAAATTTGGACATAGAAAGCATACTCCAAAGCAGAAAAAAGGAAACCATTCACTAGTGTACCAACTCAATGAAGCCATTCTACATTTTGCCAAAGCACAGGCTATTAAAATATTAACTGCACTAAGGCAATAAAATTTTACATCTAAATTAAAAATCAGCACAAAAGATTCTGTGAAGGTAAATCAAATTTCTACCTTAGGCCATTTGGGATTGAGAAGTCGAGCTTTGATTGCATCGTCCAGGGCCTTGTCATACTGCTGGATTTTCATATATGCTGCAGATCTATTGCTGTATAAGATGCAGTTCTGAGGGTCAACAGCCAGAGCTTCATTGTACAGAACAATAGCTGTGTGGAAATCTCCATCATGACAGGCCTGGTTACTCTGACGAACTTTCTCAACAAATTCAGCTTTGCTCAGCACAGGACCATCAGGACTTCTCTGGCCAATAGTCTTAGCACCAAATAGAGGAATCTACAAACAAAGAAACTTTGTGAGACAAAGTTTTGGTAATCCAGAGGGGTTCCGTGTCAGAACTTCAAGAGAACATAGACATTCTTCATGGTCTACTTTACATTACAGTTAACTTTTGTGCCCTAAAAGACGATAAACTTTCCAGAAAGCAGCCACCAATAGTGCCTTGAGTACAAATGTATATGTGTATGTGTATGCATAGTTACCAGCTTACATAGTTACACTTACATATGTATATATTTTTTATTGAGAGAAAGAATGAATGAATGCAAAAGAGTACAAGCTTTTCTTTGGCAATTTAAAGTTATACTAAGGGAAAGACTGAAATACAAACCTATATAAATAATATTGTCTCAACTATGTTAAGATGGTTTCACTTAAGAAAATAATGAAAAAATGATCAAAATATGAACTATGCTAAAATATCTTTAAATATAAGATTATGAATTTTTATTTTCTTAAAATTTTCTCTTACCCAAATATTAGGAAATGAGTATATGTTCATTTTAAAACTTAAAAATAGCCCTGGCTGCTGTGGCTCAGTGGAGTGAGTGCCTGCCTGCAGACCAAAAGTTTCCTGGTTCAGTTCCTGTTCAGGGCACATGCCTGGGTTGCAGGCCAGGTCCCCAGGCAACCAATTGATGTTTCTCTTCCTCTCTTTCTTCATCCTTTCCTCTCTCTCTAAAAGTAAATTAAAAATTTTTTTTTAATTTAAAAAGTAAATTTTAATGTATCAATGAATCTTTTTTAACGATTTTATTTATTTTTAGAGACATGGGAAGGCAGGGAGAAAGAGAGGGAGAAAAACATAGAAAAAGGCAAAAGATTTGCGCATTCTGAAGAGAAACCAGAGTATGGGAGAGAAACATAGATGCAAGAGGGAAACATCAATCAGTTGCCTCTCATGCATGCCCCAAGCAGAAATCAAACCCACAATCCAGGCATGTGCCCCCACCAGGAATCGAAGCCAGAGACTTTTCGCTATGAAGGACAATGCCCAACCAACTGAGCCACACCAGTCAAGGCAATGAATTTTTTTAGAAAGGCAAATCTGTAACTGTAATTTGGCTACTACCATGGAATTCTAAGACAAATGCCAGTTTTTGGAGATCACCAAAAAGAAAAAAAAACCTGCTACAAATTATATCTTGGCAATTTAAGACCCAATTTTAATGTTGATTTTTCCAACTCACTAAGTTTTCTATGACTTTATAGCAGTGACCTTAAAACCAAAGAGAACAACTCATTGAAATGTTATTCATTTTTAACATATGAAAATTATGAACTGCATTGGAGTCCATACTGCAAGTTAAGAGAGCAGTATCAAAAGAGATAGTTTGCAAGTCTAAGCAGGCTTGCCCTAACTGAAATTAAAACAAAAAGTGTAATTTTCTTCCTCACATCTTCTTTAAGACTAAGTCCAGACCCTCAATTCCAAAGAAAGCAGATCTAATATGTAACACACAGACTGTTCAAAAGTAACAGACTCCTCACAGAGGTATCTGCATTAAAAAGAATAAATTCCACTGAGAGGAGAAAGGCAGAGCCAATCTCCCACATAGACAACCGCTATTTTCCTCTGCTTACAGGAATATCATGTCCTAGATTTCCAAGACAATTTGAAACACTAAAATATCCTAGAAGTTTCAAATATGAAAGTCCAAGTTACATCCTTCAACTTCCTCATACTGGAAGAGGCTAACCAATAATGTATTCTCATTAGTTGCTGTTTTTTTATTATGATCATGAAACATAGTGCTTGCAAGTGAATAGACTTTGCAACATTTACCAAACAACCAGGATTTCCCTGAACAGTCTCGATTTTTAATCATTTTATCCCCATCATCAAACCAATGTAGAAGACACTGACAATGCATAAGACTAATTTCATTTTGGAAAATATAGTCATCATGACAATACTTAAGGGTAGTACTGTGGTAGACAGACAGATGTGAGCAGATCAAGGACGATGGGCCAGGTACAGACGGTCACCAGGGTGGAAAGCTACAGACAACCCTGGGAAAACAAGGACCCTGCTCCAGGGCAACCTTTTCTCTGTCAGCATATCCCTGCTCACAAGGTTTAGACCCCCTGATCTTTCATATTGCTGGTCCTGTGCTTTGGACCCTCCTCTGACCTTTCCTCCCCAGGCATGTTGCTAGTCCTGTGGGTCAAATCCCCCCTTAGAGGGGGAGCAAACAAGGGAGACGAAGCATAGCGCCTAAGCATTAAGCCTCCAGGACAACGAGGTTCTGACTTGCATCAAATACATCTAGGTCTCAGTTGTATTTCAGCTCAGGGCCCAGAAAAGCAGCAAAACCAGACTTGCGATGCCATGACTGACATCAGGATCAGGTGGATTTACTAATGATCCCCTGACCTGGTGCAGATCCATCAGCAGAGACCTCGACCCTGAAAGGATACACCTGGAAGGCTGCTGGGATCTCCCCTGAGACATCCCCCTAAAATGCCTGCCCTTAGGAGCCCTGAGGAGAAAGGACCTAGTCCACTCTCCCTTCCCTCCCTCCTGGGAGCAGGAGCTCTCCCTCCCCAGAGGCTGCCTGTGCCTTTCTCCTCACCCTTACCCTCCTTCCCCTGAACCGCCCCCCCACCCCATGCATTACCTTTACCTTCCCCTCTCGCCTAAGCTCCAAGGGCCTTTCTCTTGCCTCCATAATGTGTTTTCCAAACCCATTTCTTCTACAGCTCACTTCTTCTACAACTATGACTTTCTAAATAAACCTCTTATAGTTTTAGTCTTGGCCCTGAATTCTTTCCTAGCTAGAACTCAAGTACCAAGGGTGCTGAACTAGGTCCAGTCTGACCCCACTGGTGGTCGGAACACCTGGTGCCATTCTTGTCACCACCAACAATACTAGCCATAAATAGGAAAATATCTATATTTGAAAATCCAGGGGTATAATATAAAAGGCAATAACAGCCTTTAAAAGTAAAATCATTAGAATCATATGTAGCTTAAAAGTAAAAAAGATGTGATTCTAGTACTACAGCATTCCCTACTCTCAGAGTAGTAATTTTGGTTCAATGCCAACGTGGAAAAGAATCAAACTAAGAAAAGTGTCTGCATTCTACTCCCTCCATTTATGGTAATATAAAGGAACATTTCCCAAAATATTATACTCAGGATACTGAAATGAACAAGGTTAAGTTTCTGCTTCAGTGGAAGATTCCTCAGAGCTTTTACTGTGCACATCATGTACCTGAGAGGGGAAACACCGCACATAATGTGATCAAGGGACCTGTGTGGGAGAGAAACCATGCTGGACCAGAAACTGCTTGAAGCGCACATGTGACAGAAATCCCAGAAGAAAAGGGAAGGGAATCGGAGCAGTATTTGAATACTTTGTGACCAAGAATTTTCTGAAACTATGAGTAGATGAAAGACAACAACTCATAGAAATTGAACCCATTGCTTTAAGAATTTCACCCAACCACAAGATACCACAAAGAAAACTGCTCCTATACACATCATAGGCAAACTGATAAAATAAAAAACAAAGAGAAAAATGTTAAGGCAGACAAAGAAAAAGTAAGACACATTACCTTCAAGAAGCTACAAACAGTTAATGCAACAGAAATTATAGAAACTGAAATAGCAGCTAACCTAAAACTCCACACCCAAAGAAAATACTAAGATTATCTACTATATGCTAGGCACCCTCATAAGCATTGTAGATAAAATCTGTATATTGTAAATAACAGTACAGGCTGCACACACACACACACACACACACACACACACACACACACACACACTGCCTCCATCTGTGAAGCACTGTGCTTCTAGAGGGGGAAAATCCTCCTAACCAAACCATAAGGGATCAGCCCAGACCCCAACAGACATTCTCTCAATCAAGGAGTGACAAATCAGAAGGTGAGGAAATTGGCCATACAAAAAGATATGGAATTATGTATCTAGAGGAAACAAAGTAAAGGCAGTAAGGGCCAGGCATGTTTGAAGAACTGCAAGGAAGCCAGTGTAGATGAGCGTAGGGTAGAAAGTAAAGGCACATAAAGTCACAGAGGTAACTATGGGGCCCAAACTGTTTAGAACTACACTATCCAATACAATAGCCACCAGCCATATGTGGCTATTTAAATTTTTATTTTCCTTAATTAAATTTAAATAAAAATATTCAGATGTGCTGTCCACATTGCAAGCACACGTAGTAGCTAGTGATGAACAAATTGGACAATACAGATACAGTACATTTCTGTCTTTGCGGGCAGTCCTATTGGACTATCACACAGATACTTAAAGAACTACATGTCTAAGAAAAAACTAGATACACCACAAGAGGTCATCAGCTCTCCACACTAAAGCAGAGTTGCTATTTGTCCTTAACAATAAATTCCCAGTCCTTAGGCCAAGTAAGTGAACACTTCCCAAACTCTTCCTTAAAATGATCTTAATTGGCATCCTTGAAAAGGTATTCCAGTTTCCAACAATTTGGAGAAAATTAATATAAATAATTTGGGGTAAATTCCTCACTAGCATGTTTAAAAATTTTATTTCTTAGATTTGAAACCTCTTTTAGCTGATTCCAGGAAAAGTTACCAATACTTTAAAATATTTTGGAGGAAAACAAATTTGGTCACTGTAAGCCTTCCTTAGAATCTTTAATTTGCCAACATATACAGTGAGTTTCCAAGAAAGAGACGGAATATATACAGTGTTTCCAAATAACAATAATTATAATTATACATAACTATAATTATAATTATTGAACACTTATGTGCCTGGAATTATTCTAAATGCTTTACATATGTTAACTCACTTAATTTTCACAAAACCCTATGAAGTAGAAACTATTATTTTCCCCACTTTTAGGTTAAAAAACAAGATACAGAAAGGTTAAATAACTTGACTAACAAAAAAGGGTGTGAAGGGAATAAGCTAATATGCAGTAGGGCTGTGATTCAAACCCAGGCAGTCTGGCTCTGGACTCTGTGATCTTACCATTATATCATAACTTCCT